CGGTAAAAGGCGAATGCGAGGCGCGAGACGGGCTGGCGGGGCATCCTGGCCCGACCGATGGGGGGGTCCCACGCGATCGCGAGCGATCGGCCTCCCGTCCCGCCCCCGGCGACTTCGACGGCCCCGCCCCGATGGCGAGTTCCCCCCCATCCGAGGCGGATGGGGGGCCCGCGAGCCGGCCCCCGAGCCGCTACGCCGCGCATTTTACGGCAGCCCGCGCCGCGCGATCGGCGCCGGGGCATCGCGCCGTACTTTTCAACCCCCCGCCGAGGGCCGACCCCCCCGAGGGGGCAATCCCAGCGGCGCTCGACGCGGCCCCCCACCACGCCACGATGGCCCGCCTTCACGATAGCCTGGTCAGCCAAGAGCAGCTCAAGCGCGAGAACCAAACGCTTCGCGGCAAACTGAAAGGCCTCGAGGAGGAGCTCGCTGAGTCCCGGCGGGTGATTTCCGCGCAGCTGAGCAAATTAGCCACCGCCCGGGCCGCCGCCGCGGCGTTACGCCAGGCGGAGGGCGATTTGAAAGCCCAGCTCGAGCGATCCAAACGCCACGCCCGGGCGATGGAAAGCCACCACCGGGAGGAACTCAAAAACCTCCACACGCAGTTCGAGCGCGCAAAGGCCTTCGACGAGGCCCAAATCGCGGATCTCCAGGCGCGGTTGGAGGTCGGGCGCAATCAACCCCGCACTCGGCCAATCCCACCCAACCCGATCCCAGGCCATACGAGCGATTCCTCCCCCGTTTTAGCCCCGGCCCCGCCGGATTTAACTCCCCCCGCGGAGCCCCGGGGCCCCGAGGCCGATTGTGATGATGCCCCGCATTTATCAACATCGACCTCCCACGTTGAGCTCGTCCCTGTCAACTCCACCACGTCGGCCGCCCATCTGGCCGAACAACTCAAGGCGTGGCTATTTCACGAGCTCGCCGAGGGCTTTCCCAAACCCGAGGCTGCCGATTCGAACTCAACGAGTGAGTTAAATATCGAGACGAAAGACCCCCCCAACGCGGAAAACAAAACGGACACGGCGGGCACTTTTGCGGTCAATCCGCAGGCTCTTCTTGAAGCCGTCATTCTCAGCAAACAATATGCCATCCAGAAGCCATCCGATCCCGACTCACCCGAGGTGGAGGATTTTAAAAGTTGTCATTCGCAGACATCGCCGCTTGAGCAAACGCAGTCGGGGTGGCAAAATAAGGATTTCGCTTTTTAGTGGAATGCTACTTTCCTCCGGCATCTGCAAAGATCAAAAGGGAGATCCCAAATCGATATTAATCGCCTGATGTTAGGGGTGTGCCGTTTACAACTTCTAGCCTTTTGGTTCCCCGTCCTAACCGCATTTGTCATTGCCTTATTGTTTATAAAGATAGAGATAATCATATAGCAAAGCCCGTTATCTTAGGATGCTTAGTGTCTTTTATCACAATCCTTCGAAGGGGATTTTTTTAGTCTTTGCCATTTCCTTGAATTTTACTCCAGCGTAATCTGTGAGATAGAGGGCATGGGATACTCTGTACATCCCGCTTCTTAGTTTTCTATGCAACGTTCATGTCTCTGAGGATACATAACCCTATAACAATACTAAACAACGTAACGACATGTTTAAAAAGCCTTTTTATCCATTATTCACTTTTTTGTTTTTTCTTTTGCCCAATCCATTTCCAACCCAATAAAATCTAATATATATATATATATAAAGAGAAAGAAAGAAGATTATATTCACCGTAGACCAAAGTGCTAATCGAACATTGCTTGGATGGGAGACGCCTCGGCCCTGCGGATTTGCCCTTTGAGCGATCCGCGCCTGACCGAGCGGGTTCGCGTGGTGGACGACTACTGCCTCGCCGCCAAGTACTCCGAGAAGTACTACGACACGTACGTCCGCCACGGCCTGCAGTCCTACAACCAGGTCGCCTTTTACCACGACATTTTGATCGGCAGCATCACCTGCCGGCTGGAGTTGACCGAGGTGGAGAACACGTACCGCCTCTACATCATGACCATCGCCGTTTTGGCGCCCTACCGCCATCTCGGCGTCGGCTCGCGCTTGCTGGAGGCCGTCTTGGCGAACGTGCGGAAGGAAACGCAATACCGCATTGTCGAGGTGACCCTCCACATGCAAGTCGGGTCCCCGGTTCGGTCCTTTTACGAGAAAGTCGGCTTCGAGGTCGTGAAGGAGGTGAAGGATTATTATACCGGGTTGGATACGTGCGATTCGCTGTATATGCGCCTGGTGGTCCCTCAGCTCCACTTTGACGGCAAGAAAGCCCAGAAGGCGTAGCGTCTAAAGGATAGAATGGGGAATAAAAGAGAATGGTATGTGTATGTTATCCGGGGAAAGTGCCTTTAGTTTAGTTTAGTTTTTTGCTTGCCGCATTTGCTTGACAGGGATCGTGTGTTTCTAAACGAATAGAATCCGTCAATTTTATTTGGGCATCATTTTAAAAAGTAATCTCATTCTAAGAGAACTGTAATCATGGCATTCTTCGAAATGTTATGGAGTTTCCCTAACATGAAAACTCTAACAACATTGGCGTGTATCTTTTTACATACCCAACCCACTCTTGGCGCAACCCAATTGTTATTTGTTCGATATTTCCTTTTGGACGCTTTATATCTTAAGTAGGTACTTTCTAACTTCAGAAAGCTTGTTGGTATCTATAAACCGATTCTAGTTTTATTAGTATTAGTATAAGCGGAATTAACACTATCCTTATTTATCTTCTTAGCTGCCCAAATCTCATTCTCAATGCCAGGGCCCGTTCGCTATTTCCCGAATGGGGTGGACCGGGACTCCTACATCAGCGGGGTGCGCCCCCAAGGAAAGTTTGGGGCTGCGCACGATGTCTACAAACGTCGCGATAATCTCCCCGATAACGTCTTTAATTCCATCCGAGATGAGGTGCTTCGTGAGGAACGATTGCGGTTAAACGAGGAAGGGGTGCTTGTTCGCGCTCGATTAACAATCGCAAATGGAAAAGGAGGAAAGAAGATGCTTGACGGGGATAAGGGAAATAGACAAGGTTTAGTAGATGCGATGGAGCAAATTACCCAAAACGAATGTCGACATCAGGCGCTAAAGAACTTGTATAAGCAGGATCGCGAAGAGTGGACGACGTTGTTGGCTTCGCGTGGGCTTAGTTTCGAATAGTCCAATTAGAGGCATGTATTATGATGTACCTATCTCTCTTTCTCTCACCCTTTTTAGTTGGTATACACTTGTATCAGTTCAGAGAATGAGGGGTAAAATTTTAATAAAAAAGTCACTGCATTTCCATGGAGTGTATTGAACATCATTCTCTATACGCTTTTAAAAATAGTTTGTGAATTCCATTATGGCCTGTCTCTTTTGTATGTATTATTATTCCTTTTATGTGCCCAAGTACAACATCTCGGGTGTCCAACCCATACCTGGACCCATTACGATTAGCGACACACACACACACACCAAAAAAATATATATAGAGAGAGGTTTTTTTTCCCCCATCATATCCAACCGATCTTCCCTATTAACCCCCAGCGTTGTCTTCATTTCCATGGCGGCCCCTTCCGCGCACCACACCCTGGCCCACCTCCAGTCCTCCGGGCTCCTTCCGGCCCAGATCGGGCTGTCCCGGCAGCCGCGCCTGCGGCCGCACCTTCGCCACCTGCGCGGGCTGATCTACCCCCTGCCGTACTACGCGATGTGGCGGGGGAACCACAACGCCTACCAGTACAACCTCGCCACCCCCGCCTCCTGGGGGGAGGGCCAGACCGCGGCCTCCTACCACCAGCACTTCGCCCACGCCAAGTGCCCGACCGATTACGGCCGCGGCGGCCGCGAGTTCGCCTATTTGGCGGTCCGCCAGGGCCGACTTCGGCAAAAGGCGCTGCCCCGGGTGCGGTATATCGCGCCGGACTCCACCCCGCGCTGGGTTTTCAAGTCCTGGCATCAGCCCCTCGCCTCGCCCACGATGTGGGAGCGGGAGCTGCAGTACCCCGAGCATACCCCGGCCCACCTCGGCGCGACGCGGCCCCTGGCGGTGATGGCCCCGCGGGCCCTCCACCGCCATTTGGTCTTAATGCACATGGCCCGCATTAACGTCACGGTCTCGCCCTTTTTGTTCGGCTTCGGCCAGACGCTTCAGACGGCGGTGTTGGATTTTTACCGGCGCGCCCTCAGCGCCCGCGCTCCCTTTCCCAACGACAAGATCTTCCTCTATTACGCGGTGGATCTCATCACGCCGCGGATTGAGGTGGTTTGGCTCGACGGGGAGGTCTATGTGCCCCCCATTATGGAGGGCGTGGGGGCGAGCGATCTCATTCAGATGGTCATGGAGCAGGCCTGGCTGGCCGGCGACCGCATGAGCGCCGCGGGCTTCCCACTCAACCCAATCGCCATCGACGATTATAAATGGGAGGAGCTGATTGTGTTTAAAAAGAAGCGAGCGAAGGAGGCCGCGAAAGGCTCCGGTGGATCAGGGGGGAAGAAAAAGTGATTATTTTTTTTTGCAGCTTCGTGTTGTTGTCCGGTGGATGCGTCGATCGAGGGGGGGAGGGGAGAAGGGGGATTTGGGACGGGTGCTTCTGCGTTGGGAAGATTTGTGATCACCGGATTGAGCAAAAACAAAAACAACAACAGGTGTCCAAGGAGGTGGTTGGGAAGTCGAAAACGCGATGATACCTAACGATAGGTGTTTCATACATGCCTGAGTCTCACTCTCTTTTTTTTTAATTTTATTGGGTTCATTTTAAGAAACCTTTCTTGAGCCAGACTGGATTAAGTAATTCCCACAAGTCTCTCCTTTCCAAAATAAAATAAGTACTACTACTAATAATAATAATCAAACCAGACCAAGGAAAGTCTTCGCCTGGAATATTCCCGAGCGGTGGATCGTCGAATCATGGATGTGGTGGAGCTCAAGACGGTTCTGGACCAACACCACCCCGCGGTGGCCCGGGTCTTTCGCGATAACGTCCCCGAGGTGGGCCTGCGGCGGTTGGACGGGTGGGTGTTGAGTTATCTCCTGTGCATGTTGGAGGGCCAGACCATTCCCGAGTCCTACTTACCGGAGGAGACGATTGAATCCACGTTAAAAACCTACTTTACGGAGTTCGGCGTCTTTGCCTCCCCGGCGGCGAGGGATCGGGGGGTGGCGGCGATCACGGCGACGATGCTCGCCGACGGGATTACGCAAAAGCCGAAGGAAATCCAGCGATTGGCCAACGCGGTGAATATCAGCCGGCAATACGAGGAAAGCCTCAAACGCGCGACGATGATGAAAGGGGTGGGGAAGGTCGCGGTGGCGAACACCAACGAGGACTGGACGTGGGAAACGAAGCGGAATGCCGCCAAGGATGTTCGAAAAAAGCGCAAGGAGGACGAGAAAAAGGCCCTGATGGCCGAGGAGTACGAGGAGTTTTTGAAAAAGCGCGGGGTGGTGAACTCGCAGGTGATCACCAAGCTCCACCACAAGTACGAGGGCGGGAATTACTCCACGGACATCCGCTGCGAGGATATTCATATTCACATGGGCAAGCAAAACCTCCTCGATCACACCGATTTAATCCTGTTGAGCGGGCATAAATACGGCTTAATCGGGCGAAACGGCTCGGGCAAGACGACCCTGCTTCGGGCGCTGTCGGAGCGGGAGTTGGAGGGGGTGAGTCCGTTCGTGCAGATCCTCCACGTCGAGCAGGAAATCCTCGCCGGGGAGGAGACCCCCCTGCAGATTCTTTTGTGCACCGACGTCGAGCGCGAGGCGCTGTTGAAGGAGGAGCAGGAATTGCTCCGCCGGAACGACGACAAGGGGAACCTCCGACTAAATCAGGTGTACGCGCGGCTGGACGCGATTGACGCGCACAGCGCGGAGTCCGCCGCGGCGATGATCCTCAGCGGCCTCAGCTTTACCAATGAAATGATGAATAGCCCGACCAAGTTGCTTTCGGGGGGGTGGCGGATGCGGGTGGCGCTCGCGCGCGCGCTTTTTGTCGAGCCCGACATCCTTCTTCTGGATGAGCCCACCAACCATCTCGACCTGTTCGCCGTGTTGTGGCTCGAGCAGTTTCTCAAGGAGTGGAAGAAGACTTTTGTGGTCGTCTCGCACTCCCGGACTTTTTTAAACAACGTCTGCGAGGAGGTGATTCATCTGGTCGGGACGCAGCTGCGCTACTACAGCGGGAACTACAACCAGTTCGAGATCACCCGCGTCGAGCAGGAACGCCAGCAGAAGAAGCAGTTCGACACGCAGGAAAAGCAGCGCGCCCACATCCAGGCCTTTATTGATCGCTTTCGCTATAACGCGAACCGCGCGCGGATGGCCCAATCCCGCATTAAGGCCCTCGAGCGCATGGAGTTGGTCGCGGATGTCGTCTCGGACCCGCAATTCGCCTTTAAATTCCCCGAACCCGAGCTCGTGAGCGGGTCGTATTTGGAGTTGTTGGACTGCGAATTCGGGTTTAAGCCCGGCGTGAGCCTCTTTAAGGACGTTAACTTCGGCATCGACGATAACTCGCGCATGGTGTTGGTCGGCGCCAACGGGGTGGGGAAGTCGACGTTAATGAATATTTGTCTGGGCCGATTGGAGCCGCGCGCTGGGACGGTGGTGCGGAACAAGAAGATTCGAATTGCGCATTTCGCGCAGCACCACCTCGAGAGCCTCACCCCGCAATTATCCTCGCTTGAGTTCTTGCGGTCTAAATTTCCTCACATCGAGGATCAGAACCTGCGCGCGCACCTGGGAAGCATGGGTCTTTCCGGGGACCGCGCGATGCAGCCCATTTATACCCTTTCCGGGGGCCAAAAATCGCGCTTGGTCTTGTCCTGGATTACGTTTACACGGCCGCATATGCTGCTTTTGGATGAGCCCACCAATCATTTGGATATCGATACCGTTAACGCACTCATCGAGGCGCTTTTGGAGTACAAGGGAAGTCTTTTGGTGATATCCCACGATGAGTTCTTCATTACGTCGCTCTGCGATGATATTTATGTGTGCGAGAATGAGCGGATTAAAAAGTTTGATGGGGACTTTGAGGCGTACCGGAACAGTATTACAAAGCGGTTGAAATAAACGAACGTCAGGATCGCCAATCTGGATTCATTAGACGAGAATGAAAAGAGAGGGGATCGAATGGCATTGCCCAGAAACTTAATTGGATAAGTAAAACGGATGGATTTTCTTTGATTTCTACTTCTCTATCTATATTAACAGTGGGGATTGACCCCATCGATCTATGGGACTCGTGCTTGGCTATTCCTGAGTCCCATCCCCTCCCAGCGAGTACGACAATTTCTAATTTATTCCTAACTTATTTTTCTTTTTATATATCCTTCGTTTTAGCTATTTTCATCTGCGATTGGGTTTAGAAGATGGACAGGGCAAATTCCGCGGGGGCTGTTGACGGACCACAAGGAAATGAGCTCCACCCCCCCCTCGGACTTGAGGAAAAGCTCCACGACCTCCTGTCCGCGTTGAAGGTGAATGGCATGGATGAATGGCCTGGAAAGCCATCGGATGAGGGGATTGATTTGCTGAGCATCATGACCACCGCAGGCCAGGGAGGGTTCTCGGATTCCACCCATCCCGAGGCGACCACGAACACTCCATCTTCAACCCCTCAAGAGGGTTTAGATACGCTTATGGATGAATATGTTGGCCAACTTCGAATGCTACGGATTTTAGAAACTGCGGAGGGGGCAAAAAACGCGGACCTCAGGTAATTTCTGCTTTGCGAGCAGTCGCTTTTCAATGCCACTTCGTTAGGCATACTTACCAAAAGAACAACCCAATCCCCACTAGAGTAGAAGCCTCCGTTTAAGAAATGTAGACAGTTGATTTTTTTTTTTGATGAGTTTATCCACACAAGGACTCCGAGGGAATCCGAGGGTGGTCAAGGGGGAAAATATTTTTCCCCTAAGGATATTCAGTTCCCATTATACAATGTGGAGGAACCTCCTTTCTTTCTTCGATGGATGGCCGAAACATCCGCTGAAATTCTTCATGTACGTGTTTAGGGGCGTAACTCCCAAAGGTGTCAATCGCCAATTAACGCAACAAAGGCAGAATGCGAACCAATTTTTGAATGCTACGATATCCGGTATCTATCGTGATGGTTTTAGGTGTTGGTAATTTTTCCTCCCTTTTCCTTCTGCCTAGAAAGAACAGAATTTCTGATTTGGCCTCCTTAGATCCCTAGTAGAATTAGTCCTAGAAACATCCCGATTCGTGACTCTCCCCCACGTCAAGCAAATCGACCTTTGGAATCCCGATACGCTTTTTGGTTCATAGAAAAAAAACATCCAATTTGAAGTATTGGTTCCTTTATGTCATTGGGCGAATCCAAAAGGAACGCGATACTCATCGAAACGGAACCCCCACAAACACCCTCCTTTGCGGCGTAGGCCGATCTATGCGTGGCGTAAAGTGGACAAAACGTACTCGCCGATGCCATTTGCCAAGCGCCATTCACGGGATACCACCGCCGAGTCCGCACGCGGCGATTTGAGCCTAACAACGCCGCGCTCCATCCCAAAGCGGCCGAGGTCGCCCGCGGCTGGCAAAACCCCGCGTTTTTTCGGCCTCCCGACGACTTCGGCGGCGCCGAGCGAAGCGATTTGGCCCAATCGGCGCCCCTCCCCGTCCAACGAATCGCAAAATGAAAACCCCCGGGATAATTCCCCTCGATCGCCGTACCGCGAAGAAGCCGCCGACGACGACGACGAGACCATCGCGAGTATTCTTCGGCTCACGCGACCCCACGGCCCCCCC